CAACAGATTCCACAGAAATACAAAGGATTATAAGACAACACTATGAAAAACTATATGCCAACAAATTAGACAATCTAGGAGAAATAAATAAATTCTTAGACTTATACAACCTCCCAAAACTATATCAAGAAAAAATAGAGAATCTGAATAGACCAATCACAAGTAAAGAGATTGAACAGTAATCAAAAACATCCCAAAAAATAAAATCCATGACCAGATGGCTTCAATGGAGAATTCTACCAAACACTCAAAGAAGATTTAACACCTCTCCTCCTCAAACTATTCCAAAAAAATTGAGGAAGATGGAACATTTCCTAACACATTCTATGAGGCCAACATCACTCTGATCCCAAAGCCAGACGAAGACAACACAAAGGAGGAAAATTACAGGCCAATATTGCTGATGAACATAGATGCAAAAATCCTCCACAAAACATTGGCAAACCAAATACAGCAATACCTCAAAAAGATCGTACACCATGATCAACTGGGATTCATACCAAGGACACAGGGATGGTTCAACATCCACAAATCAATCAATGTGATACGACACATTAACAAAATGAGGAAGATTAATTGTGATTATTTCAGGCCAACACAAGTCTAGGCAGGACATAAATTATATATATTTTTTTAATTAGACATGAATTATTCTAAGTATATGACATTCTGGAAAAGGTAAAACTGGAGACAGAGATTAGTGGGGAAGGAGGGATGACTAAGAAGAACATAGAGGATTTTTAGAACAGCAAAACTGCTCTGTATATTATAATGGTGGCTACCTGTCATTATACATTTATCAAAACTCACGGAATGTATAACACCAAAAATGAACCCTGATGTTAACTATGGACTTTGAGTGATAATGACATGTCAGTGTTGGTTCATCAGTTCTAACAACTAGTGAGGGATGTTGATAGTATAGGAAGCTATGGGTGTGTTGGGGCAGGGGGTCTATGGGAAATCTCTGTACTTTCAGCACGATTTTTCTGTAAAGCTAAAACTGCTCTAAAAAATATTGTCTACTTTTAAAAAATAGACATGATCTCCCCTAAACTAAGGGAACTGAGCCACAGAGGGACTGTGCCTTATTTGGGACATGAAGCCAGCTGGTGGTTGAGGCTCTCAGCTCCTTCATCCACGACCCCATGAGCAGAGAAGAGAGGAGAGACAAGCCAGCGTGGGAAACTCATTTTGAAATACATTGTCACAAGATCTGCAACCCCAGAGCGATCCCTTTCAAAGCAGCTTTCCCATATTTTGACGCATAAGTCAAGGACAAAAGGGAATCTGAAAATAAATGAGAAAACCCTTTTGACTTTTTAGATGCAGAAACTTGTGACATGTGAGAAGAGGCAAATTTGGGTGATTTGCTTCCTACACGGGATCCCACCTTCTCTGGCATTCAGGAAAGAATATCTGCAAGCAGAGAAGGGTTCCTCTGAAACCAAGGGAAAGTTCTTCCTCAGTGCTGAGGGACCCTAATGCTCAGAAAACAGATGAACTCTCATCAAATGAGACTCATGGGCAGCTCCTACTTACCCTGGAAGACAGCTAGATGAAAACAAGATCAACATTTTAGAAACACATTGTTTCATTAGAAGCATAACTTGAGGAAGAAGTAAACGCTGAAATAAGCAATTCTATGAGGTCAGAGGTGTTCAATGAGGAAATACACTCAGAGTCTTGTGAAATTCTCCCAGGGAAGCTGGTGGAAACTACAACAAGGAAGTGGCCACATGCCCTGGGTTAGGCTCCCCCGAATGGGGTATATAAGGGCCTCCCCCAGCAGAAGGCAGCATCAGACCTCCCTCACCTCCTGAACATCCGTCCTCACCTCTCCTGAGTTCTCTCTACTGACACCATGGGGTGCTGTGGCTGTGGAAGCTGTGGTGGCTGCGGTGGCGGCTGCGGTGGTGGCTGCGGTGGTGGCTGTGGTGGCTGTGGTGGTGGCTGCGGTGGTGGTTGTGGTGGTGGCTGCGGCAGCTGCACCACCTGCAGATGCTACCGGGTCGGCTGCTGCTCCGGCTGCTGCCCCTGCTGCTGTGGCTGCTGTGGGGGCTGCTGCAGTGTCCCCGTGGTCTGCTGCTGCCGCCGCTCCTGTGGCTGTGGCTCCTGTGGCTCGTGTGGCTCGTGCGGCTCGTGCGGCTGTGGGAAGGGCTGTTGCCAGCAGAAGTGCTGCTGCCAGCAGAAGTGCTGCTGCAAGAAGCAATGCTGCCACTAGGCAGTCGGTCAGCTCTACCTCTAGGGTAAGAGATGCTTGGGACTTAGCTCACAGCACTTGGTAAGACTTTCCTCCATCTCTCCTGCCTGCTTCCTCCTGTCCTATGTACCTCGATGTCGTGGAACTTTGCTCATTCTGTCCCTTGTACTCTGAAGTTTCAGGGCTGGTTCTATCCTCTCAGTGTGATATCATGATGACATCAATTTCTTCCCCCGGCATCATCCAGAATTTAGCATCAAAGAAGTATCTATTCTCTGTCATCTTGTCTCTGTTTGGAAGAAAGATAAAATGATCACCTTATATCATCAACATTAGGAGGTTGGAACACAGCCACTCATGTCAAAAATTTATTTACATTATAAGCTTAACAAAATAAAATCATGATAGCTAATATTTAGTTTTCCTGAAAAAATTACTTACGATGAACTTTTTGTTCTTTTCTATTGTACATTCACTAACATCTTTCCCATTTCTATGTCTCTGAAAAGAAAAAGGCAACTCTTTCTTAATAAAAAAAAATATTTTCTTATTCTAATGTGTCTCTCTGTTCTGTAAGATGTGTACCCTCCCACTGGTGAGCACAATGGAGAAAAAAAAAGAGTGATATTCAAAGACACAGGCTAGGTTTCAGTTAATGGATCATTGGTCCTATAATGTCCTATAATGGGTTTTACAATAAAGACATAAATTTGGGGGGAAATCTGGTCATCAATATCAATGAGGGAAATTCCTCTGCTCTCTTACAGATGCTTTCATGATGTCTGTCTCTGCAAGCGAATTCTGGTTATAAGTGTTGACAGTTCTAGTGTGGCAGGTCATGGCTTCACTCTAGAGCTCCATGTGTCTTTCACTCATTCATTCAGCAAATACTTGAGTGCTATTTTAGGCCAGGTATTCAGCCAAGCACTAGAGAGCTGAAGATAAACAAGTCTTTGCCTTCAAGTTGACGTCCTAGAGGGAAATAGAGACAGTCACTTACAATACAGCTTCCTATGTCAGATTTCCTTTGCCTGGTTACCTTTTCCCCACTCCTATATCAATGACTTATGTAGATTTTTGTATCCATTACTGCAGCCACATGGTTGAGTATCAACGTAAGTGACTCTCAATTCCTTTGCCAGGTAAGCCAACCAAGTGAGTGATTTACAGCTTCCACAGCATTTTTCATTTGGCCTCCCAGCAGCATTTGACACAGCTGGCCACTCCCTCCTCCCTAATAAACTTTTCTCTTTGGCTTTCCTTCCTCCTTCCTAATAACCCCCTCGCCCTCGCTGCAGCTCCTCTTCCACCTCCTCTGTATGTTCTTTCCCAACACTGGTGCCCCACGGCTCAGGCCCTGGTCCTCCTCTCCATTGTACTACATCCTCATCTGATCTCTAGTCTGTCTTTTTTTCTTTCTCATAGGACTTAACACTTTCTAACATACCATAAAATTCATGAATTTATCACATTTACCTTATGGTGTTCCCTCTGCCTCACCCCACAAGCAAAAGGAATGTACACTCTACAAAGACTTCTCACTCCTTAGTTCACTCATGTATCTCAAGTATCTAGAACAGCGTCTGGCACATAGTACATACTCAATAAACAGCCTCTGAATGAATAAATGATTTTTTTAACTTTTTTAGTATGGAAAATGCCAAGCATACACAAAAGTAGAGAATAGTACAATAAATTCCTAAGAACCATCACCCAGGTCAACAATTATCAACACATAGCCCATCTCTTGTCATCTATGACCTCACCCACCCTCTTCCCACCACTGGATCGTTCAGAACCAAATCCAGACCTCATGTCACCTCATCAGCAAATATGTTTACCTTTACATGAATGAATGAATTCCTTATCATCTCTCTCTGATTTAGACTATGCCTATGAGATATCAGAGAGTTAAACTTTTCAAGGTCCAAATTGAGGTTGTCTCTTGGTGAGAGGTGCGGAGGAAATCATGACACCTTCAACATTTAAGAAAATTCCACAGTGTTCTCTGGGAGGGCCTGGCAATTTACAAGGGCACTCCCATTCCTGAGATGCACCTTAGTAATTTATAGGCAGACTTTCCACAAATCAAAGGAGGGTGAGAATAGAAAAATCCAAACCAATAGGATCGTGACCCCAGACACCTAGGGGAATTGTAATCAATTTCATTAAGAGCTGTTAGCCCTTAGAAACCAAGCAGTGTTTACTTTGGGGAGAAGAGTTTCCGTTTCCACAACAGATTAAAAAAGTTTTAAAAACAATTCCATTTTAACCAACAAGAACTTTATATTGCCTAAAAAAAAAACTCCGCTTAATAAACAGTATTTAATATATTAACTATTTGCATTACAAAATCCTCAAAGTGCTAGGAAACCATCCCAACACACTGCCTAAAAAAAAAAATACATAGTAATTATAAACATTGGCTCTGGAGTCAGGATGCTCCCACAATCCAGCCTTCTCTATTTACTAGTCTTACTTCCTTCTGCCTCGCTTTCTTCATATGCAGAATGGGGATCATAGCTGTACCTCTCTCATACGTTTTTGGGAGAAATAAGTGGACTTACAGGAAAGGACGTATTTATAAGTAGAGAAGATGATTGATGCTACATTCAGTTCATCCTGCTTTGTTACGTTGACTTGGGGCATCAGTATATTATTTTAAGCTGTTCCTTCCAGGTTTGTCTACAGACCGTGGATTCCCGCCTCTCGTTTAAAGGTTAAGAAGTCTAATTAGCACGTGCAAAATATTGGGGCGGGGCCTCCGGGCTCCGTCCCGCCCCCCCCTCCCCCCCCCCAGCGCCTGGCTTCACACAACAGAAAGGCTGCTGGTCCGGGCGCTTGTTATCCCCGCATGGGAGCGATCTGGCGAGTAGAGACTCCCTCCTGTAGGTAAGAGGAGCCCCGGGAGGTGAATTAAGCGAAGAAACGCCGTCATCCCCCGGCCGCAGCCCTCCCCTTGCCCCAGTTTCAGGAGCGCGGGCCGGGCGGGCACCTGCGCTGCAGCGGGCGGGTTGGAACCGGCCGGGACTGCATCCCGGGGCCGGAGGCAGGGGTCAGGCCGCTCCCTGGGGCTGCCATCCCCGAGCTCTGCTGCCGGTTGCAATGCTGAGACGCAACCAGGGAGGTTTGGCTAGAATTTTCACTTCCAGCCATCTGGAAAAGCAGCTTAAATAAAACCACGATCCTAATAAAGGGCCAGCATCCCCCATGGTTACACCCGCGTTCACAGCTTTTAATTGAAAAGAAACCTTAGCCCAGAATTCCAAACCCCGATCCAAGAATGGCAAAAATGCCCTAGTGAGGAAAAGAAGGGGGACTTAGAGGTTAAGAGACGTAGGGTTCGATTCAGAAGACTTTAATAACACTAAAAGGAAACATAACCATACCTTACGATAATATTGCCGGAAAGGATACCTAATCATCAAATAACCTACCAATTGTTTGTCAAGTCATTGTTGCTGCTGTAAATACGCAGAAGGTTTGAGCTTGTGGAGTGCTTCAAGTTTGAAAAGGGTGAAGGAAATAGTGTTTTCTAAAAATACTCACACATAGTGTTTTGCTCCTACAGCTATCAGAACACATCGTTGTCTTCTAAGGCAAAAGCTGTGTTTTCATCCAGGTACCTATTTTAAAGAGACCAGAACGTAACTAACTTCCAAAAAGTTTTTTCTTCAAACTGCCTTAGTAGTAGCTGAAATGGACAAAAGAACTAATTTCTTTTGGTCATTTTTGGTTATGGACCAACGATGGTTTCTGAAGGTTGGGTAATGGGCAATGCAATTCAAGCATAAATATTCAAAGATGAATTCATTTGGCCTGCTGCTCCTTAGCCGTTTAGGTGAAATTATCTGCTGTGTACCTTTTGGAAGTTGCTGTCTCTCATCTGTGAGTGCCCAGCTGTGTTGTGTTGAATTTGCAACCTGTGCTTGCATGAGAGAGATGGGTGGGAATCTGCATTGAGTGTGTAATATGGGCCAAGAACCAGATTGAGTAGTTCCGGGGACAACCTGGTGAGGTGGCTGTGATTATCCTCCACATTTCAACAGTAGGCTTGGAGAGGTTACGTACTGCCACAAACAGAGGTGGGGCCAGGAAGAACAGGAGCCCCAGATTTCAAAGTCATGCTCTTTCCCCGGACCACACCGGCCACTGCAAACCCAAACCTGGAGTGAAAAAAAAAAAGCTAAGACTGGGAGGGTGGCAGTGAGATGTCAAAATATTAAAGTTAATTCAGTAATTTAACAGCTATGAGCAAATCATTTAGGTTCAGAGGAATAAATTAGAGGTTATTCGGATAGGCTAGAGGCACGGCGAATGGTAACTAGTATTAAAAAAGATAACTTTCGGAAAATGATAAAATTATGACTTTCGTACGGATATAAAAATGAACACGGGTTAAAGATTTTATTTAACTCATTAATGAGGAAAATGGTAAGGCTGTTACAATCAGATCAAAGGAGAATCTAAAAAATAGGTACACTTATAGATCAGAAATACTGAGATAGAGGTAAAACTGGTTTTCCAAGGGGGAGACTGGAAGAGTTCCCTTCACTGGATAGAACTTATTTGCATGTCTATAGACAAGAATTATTGCACACTGTTATCAGTCACTATAATTTACAGAGGTTTAAAATAGCTCAAACAATGCGTAGTTTTTCCTTGAAGCATAAATTTTTCCCACCCCCACCCCAACCCCAACCCCCATGCATTCGACCATTTACCCACATGCATTTCAATGGCTAGATATGATCAGTTGACTTTCTATGTAAGTTTCTGCCAGTTTTATCGTTTCGACAGGCCTATTTCTCCAGCTGCACCTGAGACTAGGTTGATCTAACCATAGACATACAGAGAATAAACAGTCTGTAAGGGGATGGTTAATTGATCAGCAAATGTGTCATGCAAGCAAAAAGGAATGATGCCATATGTGACAAAATGGAATCCGAAGCGTGTGTTTTAAAGATCACTTGTATCTACTCTTGCAGTGGTTTTAACCAAAAGCTGAACTATTCTGGCCTACATGTTTAATATCTGGGCCTATTCCTACCTTGTGAAGTTCAGTGGAGTACTTCATTTCAGCAAAGATTCTTGGTCTTTGGTTTTTTGGGGGGGTGGCTATAAAAAGGATTATGCATAGGTGATGGGACTACTTTGAGGTTTTCTGCGATTCTAAGTCACTTAAGACAAAATTCTAGAGAAACTAAATTCGATTATTTTAGTACTAACATTCAGGGAGAAGGGTTTTTGGTGTTTACCTCCCTAATCATCTGTGTTTCAGAAAGATATGAATCTGGTTCTCTTTTTTTTTTAATGGGTTTCCAAAAGAGGGTGGCTGTGGAAGAGGGTGTGTTCCAGTGTATAAAGCCATTAGAAAAGGGTGGGCTTTGCTGTGTAAGGCCATTGCTCTTGATTGCACAGTCCTGAAGGAGGAGGACTCAAGACTCCAAGGAGAAGAAGGGCCGTTGTGTCTTGGACTCCCAGCAGCTGGCAGCAGGAAGGAGCAGAAGCTGGATCTGAAGGCAGGAAACTGGACTTGCTTCTAGAAAGAAATAAGCTCAGGGCACGGAAGGAACAGGTAACTGATTCCCTGTGTATTATTTTGAAGAGTGTTATATGTGGCCAGCTTTCCGGAGTTTCTTGGCCTGTCCTAGCTTTGATCTACGGGCATTGTTTCCATTCTCAATTTTCTAGGACAGACCCAATTTCAAAGATGCTGTTCTGTTTTCAGATTAAATAGAGGCCTTGCCCCATGTGAAATTTGGAAAAACCTTAGTCATTGCACCAATAGAATAAGTCAGGGCTGTGGGGAGTCCTACACAGTAAAATGCTTTGAAGTAGGGGAGGAGGGGAACGGTGTATTTTTTTAATTGTGATATAATTTACATGCAATATAAAGTCTGGATTTTAAGTGTTTATAATTGTATCCACCCAAGTAACTATATCCCATTGAGATATAGAATATTTCATCACCCCCGAATCTTCCTTCCTTCCCCTTTACAGTCACGTTACACCTCCACTTCAGAGATGACCACTGTTCTGACTTCTATCGGCAGTGGAATCGTACAGGAGGGCATTTTTGTGTCTGGATCCTTTTTACGAAGCATAATGTTTGAGGGTCATTTGTTTTGTTCCATGTATCAGTGATTAGTTTCTTTTTTCCGCGTCACCTTTGTGGAGGTATAGTTTACATATAATGCATGTACATTATAAGTGTCAATGTCATAGTCAATGAGTTGTGACAAATATACGTAACCTTATAACCACGGCCACAATCAAGATACAGAGTGTTTTCATCACCCCAGAAGGTTCTCTTGTGGTTTACTGCAGTCAGTCCCTCCCTTGTCTCCCACCCCAGGCAAGCACTGATCCGATTTCTATCACTATACATTAGTTTTGCTTATTTTAGGACCTTAGATATTAATGGAATCATACAGTTTTGTGTCTGGATTCTTTGTCACAGCCTAATGTTTTTGATATTCATCCAAGTTTTTACAATAGTTCATTCCTTTTTATTGCTGGTTGAATCAGTATTAGGTGTATAAATATACAGTATTGTATATTCATTCACCGTTTAATGGACATTTCAGTTGCTTCCTGTTTTTTTCCACTATTATGAATACGTGAACTTTCTTGTATAGATTACAAAATGGTTTTCCAAAGAATTTGGTACCTCCTTGCATTCCCACAAGCAATGTATACGAATTCAGCTGCTCTAAATCTTTGCCAGCATTTGGTATGCTAGTCTTTTTATACTCAGGCATTCCAGTGGTTGTGAAATGTTCTCTGTGGGTTTTTTTTCCAGTTTCTTAATGGTATCGCTAGATGAGCAGATATGTTTTTTTGATAAAATCCAATTCATTATTTTTTTCCTTTTAAGTTTAGTCCTTTTGTCATTTTGGTAAAATATTTGCTAATCCCTGGGTCACAAAGCTCTGTTCTTCTAGATGGTACTCTAAGGTCCTAGAGTTTGTTACGTCAAATTGGTTTTTGTGTATGGAGTGAGATAGAGATCAGTAAAATGCATTTTAAACCAGGTGAAGTCACAACTGAAATACAATAGCACAGTAGAAGTTGGCAAAACCATCCTGCAATCCTGATTTTGCAACAGAGGTATAGTAATAAAGCACTATGCTGGAATCCCTTCCCCATGCCTTCCTCCAGCACCAGCCTGCTTTGACCTTAGCACATTGCAGCTCTTGTTTTATTTGGGTTTTTCTCCAAGTTATATTCTCTTCTCTTTCAGTAGTAAGTAGGCTAAAAGGCTTCATTAGTTGTTATACTCTGATATCAGCTAAAAGCAAAAATTTTAGTTTCCAGTAATCAAACTTTTGGTTTGCTTCTGTCCAGTGAATGGCTTGGCTCTGGCAATGTTGAAAACATGAAAAGTGAGACGTTTTTTGGAAAATGTAATAAATACTGACCCTCACTATTTTTCAAAAGGCATTGGGCCTTGGGGAGTGAAACCATCTGCAAGTGTCATCTCTCTTGCCCAGCTGCCCAGGTCCTTTGGAACTTTAGAGGCTGTGAGGTTCGTGACTATTTTAGGTTATCAGTCTAATTTATTTGAGGTAGGTGTTTGACTGCAGTAAAGGTTCTGGGGAGTAATGTGAAAATTAGGCCAGCCCGCTTCTCAGACGTTGGTGGTCTTGTCAGGCACCCTCTCTGAGATGACTGGATGGTTTAGTTGGGAGGGGCGGACAGGTGTTGGGTGGAGACTGGGGTTTCTAGATAGTTTCCTTCTAAATTGTTGGGATCTCGGTTAATTCTGGCACTATCTTCTAAACAAGTATGGAAGAGGATTTGATAAAATGATTCCTTTCCATTGACCCAGTCCCTTATACTCTAGGCTCTCTGTTGTGGGGAACCTTTGCAAATCCAAGCTTGGGGAAGGTCTTGGCTTTGGCCAGATCCTCCTGTCCCCTACTTCAGGAAGCCCCACAGCTCTGTTGGAGCAGAATTCCATCTTCTAGGAGTGGGTGGAGGAATCTGCTCAACTAAGGTCCTCCTTAGCTGTGAAGTCTACCCAGGACTCAGGAGCCAGGAAGCCCACTCGTGTGTGCCAGTTTCTACAGTTCTTTTTAGTAGTTACCTATTCTATGCAAATGGAAATATATATTTAGAAATATTCTAAGTACACAGCCCAACTTGATCATAGTCAAAACATAAGTAAGTCTTAAATTTTTTAGAAGATGAAGAAAAAAATCTATGCACACCTTAAAATGAAGTCAGATTAGATATGCTAGCAAGGGGATTGCTATTTTGAAGAAGGCTGCAGCAGCCCCCATACCTGAAGAAAGGAAAGCAGCCATAGAAATATGTGGCCTTCTAGAAATGGACCCAAATTAGAGATTGAGAGAAGCTGGAGAGTTAACAGTAGAATACTGAAGGGCCCCTGGTGGGACAGCTGTGAATTTTAATGAAAAATAATTATTATTCCCCTACCAGCAAAAAGAGAAAGAAACACATCATTTCCAAAGTAATTTAGTTGGGTCACTTCCAGTGCAAAGGTGTTGGTAGCCCTTGGGGCTCATTCAGGATCACCACAGGCTGGCTGGTAACCCCAACAGTGCACGTGACCCTTTACTCCCAGGGCCCATGTGGTGTGTTGAACGTGTGTGCAGATGGCGCAACTGGGTCATAAGCAGGTGATCCCTGGTTGCCTAGAGGGGCAGAACAGGGAGACTTCAACCTGCCAGGGACCACCATAGCAGAAGCTGATGCTCAGCACTCACTTCCTCCATCTGCTTTTGCTAGCTAGAGCTCTCCCTCCGAAGAGCTCCCCTACACATCCCAGCCCACCAGGGTAAGCTCTGGTGGATTGAGCTGCTCCGGATCTCTGCTGGAAGGAACGGCTGATTCATTCAGCCTCTCTTGTTGCTTCTGGCATCTTCACTGTAGATTTCGAGTCACGATAGCCTGATAGCTGACTTGTTTGAAGAATGTCCTTTTTCTTTATTTTCCTTTTAACCTACTACCCACACAATGTTCTTGTACTTTTTAAAAAATGGTCATAGAGCATATGAGTAATGTGTGAGATTTACTGGCACAGGGACACCTTTTAAAAGGATTATCTTATTTGGAAAGCACAGAAAGTAAAGGGGAAAGATAAATATCTTCCCTTCAGACGTACCAACCCAGTTCATGTCCTCAAGTTAGATTCCATGAAGGGAAATCTAGAATACTGTTTAGGAGGAGAATAATATTATGAGGTCAGAACAGAATGATAAAATGAAAACTTACAAGAGAACAGTCTGTTCCAGATGATTTTTTGCCATGAAGGCTATGGTCTTCCCAGATGGGTGTGCTTATGAGGGATGTGAAGATATTAGTCCTAGTCTTTTCTCGGCAACCTCTCACCCAGTGACTGTGTCCCATAGTAGGTTGTAATGCACACTGTGATCATTTTTGTTTATCTGTATATTAATAACCCAAGCACAGTTTCAGGAAAAAAACAGCCCTACTCCGCAGCGTACTTTGATATTTAATATTCTTTTCTGCAATATTTGCTGAAAAATCCTATTTGCAACCCACTAAATTTTTTTGACACCCACGATCTGAATAGCACTATTCTAAAATAAACTGGAATTGGAATTTTGAGGATATAACTCGGCACTCTCAACATGATGTAACAGGAAAGATAACTGAACTTGGATTAGAAAAACTGAGTCCAAGTTCAGGCTCTGAGGTTGGTTAAATGTGAAAAACACACAAATCTTATTGCCTATGGCCCTCAGTTTCCCCATCTATAAAATGAGGACAACACCATCTCCTCTGTCTTCCTCACAAAATTGTCAAAGAAAGAGTAAAATAATTTTCTAAATGTAAAAGTTATAGAGCTTGCATTAGGAATTTGATTATCATAGTCATGGTCTCGATGACAGAAGAGAGAAGCATCTCCTCAATGATAAGATAAAATAAAAGATGATGATCAAGACTTCCAAGCATTATCAGACCATTAGCTGCAGGCTTTTCCAGTAGGAGAGAGATCGATTTTGGTAGTACCCAGCTTGTTCGGTGGGAATCCCAGAGCCCACACGGACAGTGCCTTTGGAGGTAGCTGGCAAGAAAAGGAGGAGAGGAAAATGTCGAGGAGGTGGGAATGGTGCCCCGGAGGTGGGAGGCAGCTACCTGTCAGAGTAGAGGGGGGAATGTAAACTTGCAGCCAACAGACCAGACTCTGAGCTCAGCTGGAACCTTTCTTAGCTGGGTGGCTGTGAGCTTTGAGGAAGCTCAGTTCCCATGTCTGAGAAATTGGGCACATTTTGTATATATAAATGATATATTATTATGTAATATTAAATGTAATAAATATTATATAACATTATATCCTTATATTTATTTAATATAACAATGTTTATAATTATTATTTATATAATAAATACATGTATTATATTTGTATAATTATATAATGTAAATATATAATTATATGTAAATATATGTATAATATGTATAATTAGGATTGTTGTAAGAATCAGAGACAATTATATAAAGCGACTAGTCCGATGGTTGGTGTAAAGCAGGAGCTAAGTAAATAATAACTGATACCATTTTATCTGTGTAAGTTGCAGACTTTATGTAAGGAAAACGATCACTGCCTTCAGAGGGTGGGTGAAAGGCCGTGCTGGCTGGATGATGTCAGATATCTGTACTGTGCATAACTGAAGGAGCCACAACCATGGTATTCTATTAAATGCTGAACACAGGTGTTCCGGGGCCCCTGCTGGGTAAGGATTGAGGCCGGATGGGACAGAGTGGGTCACAAACACGGAGTGATGTGTGTCTGTGGAGGGGTTAGTCGACTGGGGCAAAGTGCAAGAGGCATATCGGAAACATCGGAGTCACCTGAGGATTTTTCCACCTGTCCTGGACTCTCCAGGACCTGGAGGGCCAGAAAAGAAAGTCAAAGTTGTGAGTCCATATGTAGCTTTGAAAAAGCTCCCTAGATGATTTCCATCCACTTCCCTCACTGCCCATTAAGGTCCAAGGCTGCGGCGTGGAACCCATAAGCCCAGTGGATAGATAAGGGACAGTGGTCCTTGGGCCTCCTGCAGCAGAATCACTCAGTACATATAAATGCAGATTCCTGGGCCTCACTATACCTACTGAATCAGGCTTTAGGGATGGAGTCCAGGGATCCATAGTTTTACCAAGCTCCCAGGTGATTCTGACATGTGAGTCATGTTCACACAGTCTTTGTTCACTGGCCAGGGTTGGAAAGGGTTATGCAATGGGGCACGTGCTGGACAAAGAGACTCTGAGTTGCAGAGAGGTGAAAGAACAGCCAGATGTTAGCAGCTAAGAGTCTCAGGAGTCTCCCAGTGGAGAGCAGGCAGTGGGCAGGGACAGTGGCTGTGGCCCTGAAGGCTGAAGAAAAGCCACCAGGAGAGACGTGGTCTCTGAAAGGGTCTGGGAGCTGCTGCTGCGGTTAAACCAGGAACTCTAGCTGCTCTTCCCAGTCCTGGTTTCAGAGGACTCCTGCTAATGTTTGGTTAAGTGCCTTCTTTCATTTCCTCTGGCCAAAAGCTAACTTTGGCGCATGCGTTTGTTTCCAGGGGAGGGGACTAGGAAAAGGAGTGAGGGAAGGAAGCCCAGCATCCTGGGGTGCAGGGACGAGCTCCCCAAATTTTTCTCAGTTGTTTTCAGCTAAGTCCTCTCTCATTTTCTCCTCATTAAGCCAGAAGCACTGTTGAGTCCTCCAACATAAAGAGAGCAAAGGGAAGAGAAATGACATGTGTTTGAGGAGCAATTCTGGGCTCAACATGTTCCCAAGTCACTTCCAAGTATCGAGGTGCTCCGTGCTCACACAATGCAAGTGGCATTGTTATCCCATTTTACAGACAAGCAGCTGAACCACAGGACCCTTGTGGAGTTGAGGGCCTCCCTGGTCTTTACCTGATGCAGCTAGGAAGTGCACTCAGGAAACCCAGGCAGAGCTTTCCTAGTTCTCAGTGGGGAGGTCTGACATTCACCCCCTTCCTTCTACAAGACTTACTGTGTGTCGGGCACTCTTCAAGGCACAGGGATAGAGCAGTGACCCAAACAGTTAAAAAGCCCTGCCCTTCTGCTTACACTCTAGTTGGGCATTTACTGTCCATTCCTGCTTCACCTTCCCAACTAAATCCAGTCAGGCAGCAGTATTAGAACAGTTAAGAGACGAAGACGTCAGTAGTCCAGGGGACTCTTAGCAGCCCAGGGCCCATGGGCATAGTCCTAGGTTTCTGAGATGCGTGGAGAAGATGATGACTTGGAGTTAGTGAGAGAACGTTTTAGATGTCGAGTCGGCGGATGCCACTCCTTTAAGACCACACTTTGAAAGACGGCCAAGCCTCAGTAATTGCCTACCCAGGCTAGCCTTTTCTACAAGAACATTACTCACAAAGAAAGAAGGCCCCAGCACACTCCTGCAGCAGCTCGGGAAGAAGATAAGTTCATGCCTTCTGGGCTTGGGGAGGAGGTGGAGGATAAACCCAGGGTGCTCTGGCAAAGTTTTCACATTGTCAGCATTGCTCATAGTTGCTGCAATCCAGTTCCAAATTCGGTTTCCATTGTCTCTGCACCACTTCATCAAGGGTTTTGTTGACAAAGATGGAAACAGTGTTCACCTTATTTAACTTGAGAGGAACTATGCAGCTGTCTGGGGCCACCTTGTGAAAGGGTAGGGTGGGGTCAGACCGAGGTATGACCCAGGAGGCTCTCCCCACCTCCCTAGCCCCTAGCGAAGTTCCTCCTCCTGAATACCTGGAATTCCACCCTGGTGACTTGCTCTTCTGAAGTGAGCATCCTCCCTCTCTCTGGCCCGCTTTCAAACTATAATTGGCCCTGGCAGCTCTATGCATTAGGCCGTAATCTTTAGTATCAATGTGTTTATAAAAACACTTTCTTCCCTCACTGGGGAGAGGTTGACATTAGGTTAATACCAGCAGCCAAGGAGAAAAGACCACGAGAATGAGTCAGAGTGGAGCAGGTGAAAGGACCCTGATGGGAGTCAGGGAGACCTGGATTCAACTCTTGGCCATGTGGTTTGAAGCCACTTGTTGGACATCTTGGATCTCCCATGTACTCACCTGGGAATCTGAGAAGTTAGTACATATTTTACAGTTATTATGAGAATTTAATGAGATAATATGCAGAAAAGCATCATACTCACAGCAGGTTAGTTTCTTTCCTATATACTATCTCAGAGAACTTAACCACATCCGAGACTACCAAAAACATGTATGCTTTACAAAGTAAAGCTTGATTCAAAATAAGAAAGAATGAGACAGGATTTTCCTGATGCACATTGTAATCCATATGAAAAAAAAAAAAGATTGTTTCAAAGATAGCCACCATAAAATAAGGGAGTTTTTTTGGTTTTGTTTTGCTATTTCTGTGCAGTGGAAAATGAGATACTCTGCTGGGTTTTTTGTCTGAAGTTTGAATTTCAAGCAATTTTATTTCTAAGTTAGGAAAAAAGTATGAACTATTAATTAGCTACCTGCCGCATTGAACAGTGTGAAACTGCAGGTTTAGGGAAGAAATGGGCCCAGTCATAAAGAAAAGTGGAGTAACAGTCTAAGAAGGGATGGCTTCCATTCCCAAGATAGTGTTAAGACCAGTATGGGAGAAGGAAGAAATATGGAGAAGATGGCCAGTTACATCATTATCCATTTTAATTTTTTTAACTGAAGAATTATAAATTCTCAGATTGGAGACACTTAAAAATATCTTTGATGTTTATGATGTGTTAAGCACAATACTAAGCAAGGGATAGTCTAGTGGAGAGATAAATGTATAAATACACACGTGCCATTCAGTGTGTTAAAAATTTCAGAGTCACAGTGCAAAATATAGTGGGCAGATAATAGAAGATTTGATCAACTCAATCTATGTTCTCTTGGGTTTGACCTCCTAGAAGTACCTTATCTACCACATGTACACCAACAATTCCCTGGCCAGTGTTTTTTACTGACTTTCAAGCAGTCATGGGCCCATTGTTTACCATTTATTAGGAGCTATTTATTACTGTATTTGTGATGGAGAACTAAAGAAGTGTGACTCTACCCCCAGGACTAATGAATAAGTTTGTTGACAATGACGATTTGACTTGGTCACCTAAGAGATATTTTTTGAGAGCAGCTATTCATCACTCACCTTTCCATTTCAGCTGCAGATGGATGAAACTTTATCCTTTCATGAACCATTTAGAAATAATCAATTGTTCATTACATCCAAGGACAGGAATAAACATCAGTTAATTTTGGCTCTGTTTCCGTTTGATCAGCCATGGGTTGTTTCCGAACTTCGCCGAGTCATTCCTGGATTTATCCCACTGTGATCCTCTGCTTATTTGGATTTTTCTCCATGATGAGACCCTCAGAACCCTTCCTTATCCCTTATTTATCTGGACCAGGTAAAAACCTGACCAGCTCAGAGGTAGGTTAACATACATACATATCTTAATGTGGTTTAATTTTGCAGGACTTGAACAAGGACATGAGGTCAGAGTTTCATTCAACTTGGGGAAAGATAACCACTGACCTCGATTTTCATGGTACTTCTTATTCAATAGAACTGGTCTAATTATTCTTTCCTCCTCATACTTGCGCAAACGGGAAACAAAACACAGTGTATGTGAAATAAATATTTTAACTTTTATAGAGTTCTACTAATAATCTTACTACACGGAACATTTCAGTTCTCCATTAATTCTATTATGCTAATCCTAAAATAAAATCACCGCCAGGCACAGGATCTAGTCCTAATAAACTTTCATGCTGCTGAGGTATAAGCAGAATCTGATAAAGAATTGTACCATTTCTTTAGGACACTTACTCAGTTTTGAAAAACTATTTACCAGCAGGCCCCAGAAGGCCAAAGTCTCTTACTTAAAAGATCTCCCTATTTCATTATAACAAGTGCAGCAAGAAAATGCGCTGGAGAGCTACCCTTGGCTGGTTTTATAATCTCCAGCCAGAGCTATGAAGACACTGCAGAGAGTGTAGCTTTACCGGGAAGGCTAATTGATGCTGGTTTATTAGGTGATAAGGTGGTAAGTATAGAAAAGCAAGCTTGTTGTGCTTTGCTGTAAGATCGCTTAGTGAAACTCTGTTTCAGAGTTACGCAGATGGAAGCATGTCACAATTAAGACAAGCAAACAACAGATAGAGGTCTGGAATCAGCCAGTGAACCTACTGGCATCTGCTTGTGTGATCACTTAATGTCCCCATCCTCAAAAGTGCAGCTCAGTCGCACTAGCCTTTCACATCACTGAATTTCCCCTCATCATTGACATTTGGACCCACTGAGGTTGCTGGAGACCAGAACAAAGGCTAATGTGACCGAGCTCCAACTCACCTGTCATGCCCCAGAGATCAACAACTTCTTCAGTCCTTTCTTTTTATGAATGAACATTGAGTTCCTATGCATTTCCGACTAAATCCATGAGATGACCCATATTATACTGAGGCCAGAATTGAAAAAGCGATATTGAATAAGATTGAGCCTGGCAAATTTGGCCAGCAAGGAAATTAAATGCATTACTTGTTCCCACTCCATAATTCTGCAAGGTTATTTACTCTTTGCCGTCTTCATATATATGTCCATCCAGATTTTGGAAGGGCTGATATTTTTGACGTAGTGATGGATCAAATAAAGATAAAGGTTTCCAGATTCATCTAATGTTAATCTTTGAACAAGAAGAGAATGGTAATTTTTAAGAGCCTTAAAAACCCAGAAGTATCTGTTGAATAATTTTTAGCTAATTTACTCAAATGTACATAATATCTTAATATAGTTCAGATTGCACATTATATTTTTCTGCTGGAATGCACATAAGTATGTAAGTTGGTTTTTTGGGGGGCAGGAGGCTTGCTTTTCCTAGTGGTTTCCTTGAAAATCGGTTTTCTACTGTGCTTTTCTGTAATATGAAGAATATTCTATCCGATCAGATGCAGAATTTGACATTGGGCAAGCCACGTATACCTTAGTAATGTACATATCTGAGAAAGCTAGCACTTCTGACTTCCTCATGCTTTGTGGTCACATGATCCATTTTTCAACTTTGCAGATCACAAATGAGATCTTTCCTGTGTGGACCTACTCTTACTTGGTGCTGCTTCTCCCCGTGTTTGTCCTCACCGATTACGTCCGCTACAAGCCAGTCATCATCTTACAAGGGATTAGCTTCATCGTTACCTGGCTGCTGCTCTTGTTTGGCCAAGGAGTGAAGACCATGCAGGTTGTAGAGTTTTTCTATGGGATGGTCACTGCCACCGAGGTGGCCTACTATGCTTACATTTACAGTGTGGTCAGCCCAGAACACTATCAGAAAGTGAGTGGTTACTGCAGGAGTGTCACGCTGGTGGCCTACACAGCAGCCTCAGTGCTGGCCCAGATCTTGGTATCTCTGGCCAATTTATCCTACTTCTACCTCAATGTCATATCCCTGGTCTCTGTCTCCATGGCCTTTCTTCTCTCACTTTTTCTACCAATGCCCCAGAAAAGCATGTTTTTTCATGCAAAACCCAGCAAAGAAGTACAAAAGCCATCAAACAAGAATGGCGTGTTAGGTGAACCTCAGGAGGGGGAAGCACCAGGCTGCAAAGAGGAGAAACCCACGTCGGAAATATCTGCCACATCGGAGAACCCAGATGATGGCCTGTTGAGCAGCCTAAAGCCAAAAAATTTAGCTTTGAGAGTTTTCATGCAGTGGTTCCAAGATCTGAAGGAGTGCTATTCCTCAAAGCGTCTTTTTTACTGGTCCCTGTGGTGGGCGTTTTCCACAGCAGGTTTTAACCAGATTTTGAACTATGTTCAAGTCTTGTGGGATTATAAAGCACCATCCCAAAATTCTTCTGTCTATAATGGGGCAGTAGAAGCTCTCGCAACCTTTGGAGGTAGGTAAACATTGATTTATCTTCCTTGATGGGCTACCCCAACTAAGTTCATCTTTCCAGTTGCTAAACTTCTCCATGGTGGAAAATTAGCTGTGTTCGGAAGGCATATCAATGTTTTTCTGAAATGGAAGGCACTGGGGGTGGGGGGGTGGGTGGTGGGGGGGTGGAGGGGACAGGACTATGACACTTCTATTTAGTGTGTTGTAGTTACAACAGGTAACTCAAGAGCTCAACCAAATTCTGGCCAAATTCCTGAGATTCCACTTCATCATCAGAAAAGTTAATAAAATACCCTGTTCTTCCAGACTTGTTTTTAATATCGAAAAGATAATACGCATCTTGTATATAAGTTAAGAGTTTTGTTATTTTAGAAAATGAACTATTAAGGCTTCAGATTATCACTGGGAGAGTTTTTTTAAAGAAAGGATTGGACTTAGCTGGCAGCCACCTTTAGCAATTCTAGGCCATACACCAAAAATTTTCAAAAGTAGCTTTCCTATGAGATTTAAATGAGTGGAAGATATGTGAGAGTCAGGATTCTAATATCAGAGGGAAATCTGCCTTTGAAGTTTTCTCTACAATAAATATTTATATCCTGGTAAGTGGAAACTTAAATTCAACCGAGACTTTGAAGATATTTTCTAGGAAGTTGCCGATTTCCACACCCTCATTTACAAAAATTTCAGAAAACTCATGTGGCATCCGTGTTATTATTGTCTTGCTTTTAGGAGGCCTCAGTTTAACTTCTGAAAACCAAGATTATGCTGGAATTGGTTCACTGAAATTATTTCTCCTACATTCCAAATTCTAGGGGGGGAAATAGTTTTATGCCCTTTGTAACAATGGTTCTTTCCTAGGTCACATGCAGAAAAGTTACATAATCGAATGTCAATAATTTGAAACATAAATGCCTTTCATTTTGTTTAAGAGAACTATAATTAGTAACCCTAATTACTGGCAATTATTCAATCTGTTAAATTCTATAAGTCAGTATAGGTCTGTGCACCAAAAGCCTCAAGTAAATTAGGCCAGATCTTGAAGACATTAAGATGGAGACTAGAGATAAGATTAAGGTTAAGAAAAATTAATAATGAAGACTAAAACTTACTACCCAATGCAACACATCTGTTACCCATCATTGAAAAGAACATATGATAAAAAACAATAAAGAAAGACGAACATGGACAGGCCAGGTGTACTCCCAGAGCAATCGTTTCATCCTTTTCTGTCTCTGCCCTTAGGATGATATATTAAGTGATTGGGTTTATGTATCATTTCTCTCTGCTCTGTTGTGATTAGGAACCTTTCTGGCCTCTCTGCATAGTACAGCGCTTGGCAGGTAGTTGATGCTGATTGAAAGTGTGAGGACTAAATGATTGAAAGAATAGGAAGTAAAGGGAAAAGAAAACCTGATTGAGAAAAGGATAAATCCACATTTAGGTGTATTGCAGTATTTTCACAAATTGTGATAGCAACATATTCATCTTTGAGAATTACCTAAGACCTGAGTCTTTAAGAGAGCATTTTGATATTTCCCATGTGCAAAGTCAGTATGTGTCGTCTTCCTTGATGTTTCTTTTTCAGGGGCTGTGGCTGCCTTTGCAGTGGGTTATGTGAAAGTCAACTGGGATCTTCTGGGAGAGCTGGCTCTGGCGATCTTCTCAGTTGCCAATGCAGGCGCTCTCTTTCTCATGCACTACACAACCAACATCTGGGCATGCTATGCTGGCTATTTGATATTCAAGTCCAGCTATATGCTTCTTATAACCATAGCTGTGTAGGTATTACCAACCATTTCTTTCCATTCCTAAAACTAAACCATATTCTCTTTTCTGTATTCCTATAATTTGTCTGAGAACTTCAGAAGAATTTTAATCAGTTGCAATATTAAATGTTGACTACTTCATACTAAATTAGAGAAAATTAAGCCATCTTTCGCTTAACTCTTTGCCCTCTGAATATTGCTAAGATTAGTCATCAAGGAGAGAAAGTTGTGTAGGTTCATAAACCAAAAGCAGTGACATAGATTGTCAGGTTGTGGTTTCCTGTTTCGAGCAGTTGGCCATAACAAGGGGTGGTGCAATCTGGTTTTGAATGATTAGGTTTAGATTTCATCCTTAATTTCACTTAATTGCTTGAGTAATTCTCATAAAAGGCATATGCTTTTGTGTGAAGCAAAATATTGTCAGCAGGTTATAAAAACTTGGATACTGGAAATGATAGATGCAAAAGTTACAAGAAACTGTAAATCCCAGAGATCATTTTTTAAAAACCATTGAAAACATTTAGTTCCAAAATAAGTGTATAGAAATCTAACGGTAGGAAATGTGCTTTAGTATTAACCAAAAGAGGTAAGAAACATTTGAATTTCAAATCCCACAAAAGAAGTAGAGACAAAAGGTTTATCAAGTTTTGTTTTTTAATATGTGAAAAATGTTTGATAAGCAATTGACAAAACACAGAACTCTAAGCACTCTGGGAAAAGATCGTGAAATAAAGGAAAGGGATAAAACTTTTGAGAAGTTTACTTTTTTTCACTGAAATGTGTCAATTTAATGAATCAAACTCATGAGTCTTGAGTTTCTTTTTTTAATGTGAGGATTTGTTAAGGTAAGATGATATGATTTCTTTTCATTTTAACAGTATTCAGAATCCAGAGCCTTTTACCTGAATTACAAAGAAGAACTCTAAATAATATACAATTGCCAGTCTTTCATAAATGTTTTGTAGTAAGATTTCAAAACCTATATAATTATTAAAAATAAATTAATTACAAATTGACTCACTTGGACAACCAGCCATGATCTGGATCTTCCAAAGAATAATTCACCTACCAAATTTTGAAACTGTCAATGCAGACAGTTGACAATAAAATGAATAACTCTGCAAAAAATTCTTCAGATTGGGTATTGCTTGCATTTTCATAAAAATTTACTGCAAAACCATATCTCAAGTCAGATAGCATCCAATATTCCCAAGTTATGAGAACTTAGAACGTTAGGTTTAATTTCTGGAAGCATCAAATTGCACGGGAGGAATTTTGCCACATTTCCTTTAACTGTATTTTAATTCAGCCTTTCACTGTATTTTTTTTTTTTTTTTTTTTTTTTTTTTTATTTTTTTAAAGATTTTATTTTTTCCTTTTTCTCCCCAAAGCCCCCCGGTACATAGTTGTGCACTCTTCGCTGTGGGCTCCTCTAGTTGTGGCATGTGGGACGCTGCCCCAGCGTGGTCCGATGAGCAGTGCCATCTCCGCGCCCAGGATTCGAACCGACGAAACACTGGGCCGCCTGCAGCGGAGCGCGCCAACTCAACCACTCGGCCACGGGGCCAGCCCCTTTTCACTGTATTTTTTAACTCCCTTTCTTTGCTCTTCCTGGAGGAGATTTAGACAAAAAGTGCTGGTAACAAGATACTGCTTTCTCTTCCATTTCTGTCTTTTAAAGATAAGAATCTCATGTATGTTCTTGTTAAAAACTTATTTGATGTTTGATGATAGATTTCAGATCGCAGTTAATCTGAGCGTGGAGCGCTATGCTCTCGTGTTTGGAATCAACACCTTCATTGCCCTGGTGATTCAGACCATTGTAACTGTGATCGTGGTGGATCAGAGAGGGCTCAATCTGCCAATCAGCATTCAGGTGAGCTCAGTACTTCTGTGTTCCTACTCCTGTAGTTGGTGGAAATATAGTAGGTAATCTCAAAGGTTTTTTTTTCAACCTTACCACTGCCAACATTCAAATTTCTTGAATTCCTTGGCTAGGAAAATTTTAAAATAAGCAATTCCTTAATTATCATGTTATAACATACCAAATAGTTTTTGAACAATAATCACAATAGGTCAGCATTTACCTCTGGCTCCTAAAACATCATTGGGTAACACTGGTTTTTGTGTCCCCTATGTTTTTCCTCTTCCTCCCACCATCCAGTTCCAAGGTTTACTGAGATTCAACTGCAGAACTCAGTTCCCTCCTCCCTACTTCACTTAAAATTAGTCCAATTTCTCATTTTGCATATGGATCTGAAAGAAAGGGAGATAAGATAGATAGGAAGTCACCTCAATGTCTAAAATTGATTCTTAGAGACATTACATATACCATTGCACCATCCTCCAGTCATAGACACAAAAATCAGTGAGATTCACTGTTTTTTCACTATTGGTGTTGTTAGCTAGGATCTGAACCCAAGCAACCTTGGCTCCAGAGCCCACACCCTTAGTTACTGTATTGCTTACGTTCTCATACCTGGTTCTTCTAAGATGGGAGAAGGGAGTCTAGTGCAAATCTAAATGACCCATATTAAGATCCTGGGTCTCGCTTACCCCATAATCCAAGCAAATCAACAGCATCACCATGTATTACCAATGACATACATGGACAGATTTTGTGTGCGTCTAATTAATTCCATTTGTTTTTCTCCAGTTTTTAGTTTATGGGAGTTATTTTGCAGTCATTGCTGGAATTTTCCTAATGAGAAGCGTATACATTATCTATGCAGCCAAATGCCAAAAGAAGGTGCAGAGCTCTGCTACAAGTCAGAATCCATATGGACCACACCCAGAGGAGCCAAGGGATGTCATCATGGGAACAAAGCTCTAATCTTATGTGAACCATTACAACCTCTGAGCAAGGACTGTGCTGGTCACAAAGCCACTAAGTGCCATAAGTTGACATGTTTCACAAGTGTGGTTTCCAATGAACCTTTTCAAAACCACAACAAAATGTCAGCTTTAGACCAGATATCTATGTGCTCAGCTGAACTGGATGAAGTCAACAGGGCCCATTATCTCAATGAAACAACCCATTTTGGCAACCCCAGTGAATAGCAATAGCTGGAAAATTCTGGTTTTGATCACTTGCAAAGACATGCAAAGGCATGGAAAGAAACCATAAGAAAGTTCCAGCTGTCCTGGAGTTGATGTTCCCCATTCGTGAGCAGAAATACTAGCTAGACTGACCCTGTTGCTTGGCTTAGATATTTGTTTTATCTTACCAAAACAGGCAACCCATGGGACATTTTTGTCACATGAGCCATTTTTCTCCTTCCATTAAGTGTATTTCTATATAACTTAACAGTTCTCTGAGAGAATTGCAGGATTTAGTCCCATTTCTAAGGACTCCTCTTCAATCCTGATAACATAGCATCACTCACAAAGTAGTATTTGATAATATCACCATTTAATTGTTTCATGATTATTTTTCATTTTGCGCTCTGCTGAGCTGTGCTGTTGAAACTCTACCTCAGGAATAGCTGCAACCCTCCTGTGTGTCCACAGAATGACATTCATGTCCATTCCCAGTGGCCCTAGGAAAAGTAATGAGCTTTCTCCCTAATGTGACACCAGAGAGGTGTTTTAATGCTCTGTCAGCATGATGTCTGTCCAAGACAGAAAAAGTTAAGTAGAAATTTCCAGGGGTTTCTAGAAGTATTCGTAAATAAGAAAACACTGATGGGGGAGGCACCTGATTTTTAAATGGCAGAAATTGTGCTAAATAAAATTAAATGTGCAAAAATATTAAAGAGCCTAATTTTTTGATGAATTGTACTGAAAATTGGCCTTTTCTGTCCTTTGAATCTTCAGTAGAGGCTGTATTGAGCAGTCTGCCAGCGGGAATAAAGAATGCTGATTCAAGATTTGTATTTCAAATACACTCTTCTCCAAATCCAAAAGTTCAGTCCCTGGACTGAAAAGAAAATTTCAGCCCAAAAGCCAACACATTCGCTTAATGGAGAAAATTAATAACTTTCCTACTTATAGCAAAATCAGGGAAAGGATGATCAGTATCAGCTTTCTTACTTAACTTGTTGTATTGGAGGTATTAGCCAACACAATCAGACAAGCAAAAAAAAAAAATTAGAAGTCGGAAATTGGAAAGGAGGAGGCAAAATTATCATTATTCCAGAGACTACAAGTATACACTGAAGAGAGTCAGTTAAAAACTGAGACAGTGTAAGTATATATCAAAACTGGCAGCTTTAAGATACAACTATTTAGAAGATAACATGGATGTAAAAGACCCCATTTATAGTAGTACAAAAGTAATAAAATTCCTAAGATTATATTTAATTAATAACTTAAATGTGTATAACATATATGAATTCACCTGAAAACACTTTTGAGGATGAATGCTTTTTTAAGTGTAAAAAGGAGGTTAAATTATTTGCAGAGAGTAAAATGCTACTCTCTGCTCTTAATTTCAGTAACATAGGAGCATGAAAAAGTCCAATGGAACAGAGTAGAAAGTTCTGAATGAGTCCCTAATTCATAAGGGATTTAAGACTATGATAAAGATCGCATCTCATACAAGAGGAAGAAGAGGATGGAATAGTTAATAAGATTGAAACAGATTTTTTTCAAAGGAGAAAATAAGTAGGACCCAAGAGTGCTAGAATATCTCTCAATAAGTAATATATATGAATCACAATGCAGATGTAAAATATGAAACTACAAAAATACCAGAAGAAAGCATGCAAGAATTATTTTATAACCCTGAACCTTTCTAAAGGAACACAAAACCTAGAAGTCATTAAAAAAAAAAGAATTGACAGCATAAAGCTAAACTATGCATCAAAGAAAAACTATAAGCAAAGACAAATGATAATCTGGGAAAAATAGTGTGACTTGTCAAAGCTACTTCCCCTAATTCATAAAGAACCAATACAAATTGATAAGAAAAAGATCAATAACCTGATAGAAAAATGGGAAAAGGACACAAACAGGGAATTCAGAGAAAGAAAAATACAAATGGCTCAGACATGTAAAAGAAGCTCAAATTAACTCATGGGAGAAACGTATATTAAAACTGCAATGATACCATTGTTCAACTGTCAGACCAGAAAGTAATCCCAAAGTGTGACAATGCACTTTGTTCCCTGGGAATGGGTCCACAAGCAGTCTCAAAGATTGTTGGTCAGAGTGTAAAGTAGTTTCATTGCTACGAAGGAAAATCCCACGTTCTCAAAATTACAAATGTTCATCTCTTTCCACCTATAGACTTCTCTGATGGCAATATACACTACCAATATCCTTGCAAGGCTGGGAACTGACGTGTAGAAAAGACTTTTTATTACAGTGTTGTTTCTAAGAACAAAGGACTGGGAACTATTTAAATTTCATTAAATGGCAGGGAAATGTATTATGGTACACTAATATATTCATTTATAATCATATTAACTACATTAGAAAATGAGGAGCATCTTTACATAGCAATAAAGGGCTCTAGAATATATTATTGTGTGGAGAAAAAGTCAAGTGCCAAAATAATAATGAATGCAATGGCTTGTCATTTGTTTAAAAGTATGGAGAAAAATATCTATGTTCGTTTATATACACGTACAACTTTTCTGGAAGGACAAACAAAACATCTAACAGTCATGACCTGCTGTGGCGTAATGGGAAATGGGAGGATGGCATCTTTTCACAGCTTTTGATATTTGCGCCCTGGAAATTACCCACCCCAAATTAAAATGCTAATTTTAAAAAACTGTTTAACCTCTTGGGAAATAAACTAGCAGTGAAGAAGAAAGAGCTGGAGATTTTTAATTTTTTTATATGTAACCATTCTGATGTTTTTACATTTTTTGCAATATATATGCATAAGTAAATGTGCATTTATAATTAAAGGGAACAGACAGAAGAAAAAATATTTTTTAAATAAAAAAATTTTATTTGGTATCTCATTAAAGAGATACCTTTTTTTTAAAACTAAAACATAGGTTTGCTTTATAAGGTGTCGGTTTTTGTGACTGGTAAGAACACCTTATGGAGAAATATCTTGAATTTTTTGTTTTGTACATAAAATGACTCAGAAACGACAACAGAAACAGAATTCATAGACAAATAACAGAAATAAGGGGATAGCTATGGCAAGAGAATAACCATTTCTGAGAAAAAAATAAAATCTTATGGTTCTAGCTTGTCTGGACTTGCCCTTTGCCGATATTTAGGTCTTGACTTAGACGAGATATTTAGATCCGGTTTGAGGAAGTTGTGGCTGAAGAGGCACATGACGCACTTTTGACAAGTAAGCAGGGTCACAGGGCCTTCAAGGAAGAGGGACACACAGCAGTGGCGTTGAAATATCTGAGGGAATAGCCCATCTCATGAGATGGAAAAATGACACGCAGCTGGGAGGGGCGGGGCCCGGAGGCCTGGTGGTGGCATTGCTGTCATTGCATAGTTATCGTTCAACTTGTTCCAGAAGGTAGAAATCTCTTGTGTGCGCCCTGTTGCTGTAGCTGAACAAAAGCAGAATCACGTAGGGCTGTTTTCTGTGTTTCATTAGGAAATTTAGGCAACAACTTTGTGGTGACTGGAAACAATAGTGACAGCAATAGAAAAGGTAAGAGTAATAGAAATCGTGTGCACACAGACGCAGAGAGGGAGAAGTACCAGGTTGGAAGGCTACGTGAATATCCATCAAATAGAACCTCAGAATCGTGATCACTGGCTGGGCTCAGGGAGGTGTTGGGTCGTCAGGTGTTGGACCGGGTTTACATCGTTGTGATGGCCATTTCTTGTTTCTTTGAATTTTTTTTCAAATAAAAAGGTTTGAGACTATTAGGTTGAAAGAGAGGGGAGCAGAGTTCCAAAACCAGAGATATGTTCAAAAGAAGAAGTCCCAGGACACCCAGGTGACAGCAAGTGGGAAGGTTTGGGAGGAGGAGCAGACAGGATGGGTGGAGAAAAGTCTCATTAATGAGGAGAGCAAGTCCCAGCATTTCTCACCCTAAAGCTGGGGCCAGGCTGGCCCCCTAGCAGCAGCATTGCTTCTGGCAGCAGCACTTCTGCTGGCAACAGCCCTTCCCACAGCCGCACGAGCCACAAGAGCCACAGCCACAGGAGCGGCGGCAGCAGCAGACCACGGGGACACTGCAGCAGCCCCCACAGCAGCCACAGCAGCAGGGGCAGCAGCCGGAGCAGCAGCCGACCCGGTAGCATCTGCAGGTGGTGCAGCTGCCGCAGCCACCACCACAACCACCACCGCAGCCACCACAGCCAATGCAGCCACCACTGCAGCCACCACTGCAGCCGCCACCGCAGCCACCACCGCAGCCACCACAGCTTCCACAGCCACAGCACCCCATGGTGTCAGTAGAGAGGACTCAGGAGAGGTGAGGACGGATGTTCAGGAGGTGAGGGAGGTCTGATGCCACCTTCTGCTGGGGGAGGCCCTTAAATACCATCTTGAGGAGGATGGTGATGGAGTGACCCAGGACACATGACAAATGGCTTCTTCCTTGTTAGTATTTATCCCAGTATCCAGAAGAGTATTTAGAATTCTTTCTCATTTCTATCCTTACTGGAAACATTTGGCTTAATAAAAGAGCTGACCTTCAGAAGGAAATTTTCTAAATTTTTAAAATCCTATTTACATGTTAAGAACCAGGCCTCATAGACTTAAAAAACTCAGAAGATGTGACATACAAGAAAGGAGTATATGAATGCCTTCTGACTCAGTAGAGTATGAGGCGAAGAAAAGACAGAAAAATCGAAATAGAAGGAATAATTTGACATGTATCTTATCCTGGGATGGCCTGTTCAACTTGAAAGAGTGACCCCCAGATCCCGTGTGGAGTAGGAGAGACCCCAAATGTCTCCTTGCACTGTGGAGGCACAGAGAGGCGAGCTGATGATGTTGGCTGGGGAGGTTGCCAAGGGTCACTGTGGCAGGAGTAAAATGATCCAGGACTTAAGGATGTCAAGCCAGACAACCAGGACTAGGATCAAGTGGGAGACATAGCCCATCTTCCATGCTATTGGCAGCACCAGAGAGAGCCAAGTTGGGACTGTGTCATCAAAGAAGGACCACTGAGTCTTCACTGGGGCCACAGAACAAGTTATACCATTATGTGGGCCACTTAAATTTACTCCATTATCATAACCACAAATTATACCTAAATCTCCCTGTTGTCTTATAAATCTATACCATGGATGGGCAGGTTGACTGTGTTAAGGGTCACCAAAATAGAATTAAAGAAATTATGAAAATAATTTGTATAACTGAAATATTTATGTCATATCCCAACTAGGTTTTCCTTTTAGCCATCTCTTTGGTTTCTCCCACTACAGTTCTAAACTTAAGCCTTAATTCACATTACAGGGAAATCTCCAGAAAAAGTGCTAGATGTTTGATTATTTTCCAAAGATAAGTAAGACTGTCTATGCCTTCAAAATATTGAATGAAGAAGAAAAAATATTTCTCTACAGAGGGATACTGGAATAACACTTGTCTATCACAGAAAGAGCCTTTTTTGGGGGGGAGGTGGGAGGGAGGAAGATTGGCCCTGAGCCAACATCTGTTGCCAATCTTCCTCTTTTTTTTCCTCCCCAAAGTGCTAGTACATAGTTGTATATCCTAGTTGTAGATCAATGTAGTTCTTTTATGTGCGATGCCACCACCAGTGAACCTTGGGCCACTGAAGCGGATGGAGCACACAAACTTAACCACTCATCCACAGGGCCAGCCCCTAGAGAGAGCCTTTTATCTTTTTTTAGTGATACATAAATGAGTAATGTTTCTTATAATCAGTGACATCTTGGGTTGAATGAAATATACAAATTTTAAATGGTTAATATGTTTAAAGAAATAAAAGAAGGTAATGTAAATATGACAAAGGAACACAAAGTTATCAATAATTACCAAACAGGCACCAGGCCAGTGGTGCAGTGGTTGGGTTCATGTGCTCTGCTTCAGCAGCCCAGGGCTTGCAGGTTCCGATCCCAGGTGCGGACCTACGCACCACTCATCAAGCCGTGCTGTGGTGGTGTCCCACATACAAAATGGAGGAAGATTAGCACAGATGTTGGCTCAGTGGCACTCTTCCTCAAGCAAAAAGAGGAAGATTGGCAACAGATGTTAGCTCAGGGCCAATCTTCCTCACCAAAAATAAATAAATAAATGAAAATAATTACCAAACAAATTTGCAAAGGAACCAAATTTCTAGAACTTCTAGAAATGAAAAATGAAATAATTGAATTTAAAAACTCAATAGAAAGATTAAACAGATTATTAGACACAGTTGAAGAGAAAACCAGTGACAGAAAACAGCTTAATAAATTACTCAGAATTCAGCACAGAGTGGCATAGAGATTAAAATTATGAAAGATAAGAAGACACAGATGAAAGAAAGATTTATCACAGTGGTTCCCAAGCAGATGTATAACTGCTTATCTTAGGGGGTTTTCGAAATGTATGAAGGCATTTCATCACAATGACACAGTGTCTGGGAGCTAGGAATGTAAAATGTCCCATAATGCAAGGAAGAGTCCCACACAATAAAGAATTTTCCCATCCAGATTTACAACAGTGTTTCTGTTGAGAAACATTAGCTTAACAAATGTCTAATTGAAGTTGAAGAAGATAATACAGAGAATAGAGAAGACATACTATTCAAAAATAATGGTTGGTAATTTTCCATGGTGATATAAGACACCGATCCTCAAATTCAGATATTTCAACAAATACCAGTTGGATAAAAATCAAAGAAATTCAAACTACACACATTGTAGTGAAACCGAAGAACAAAAAAGAAAAATAAAATCTAAAAATAGCCAGACAAAAAGGAAAATTAGCTGCAAAGAAATGATCATTAAACCAAAGGCAGATGTCTAAACACAATGGAAGTCAGAAGACAGTAGAATATAAATGTCAACCTAGAAGTGTATCCAAAAGAAACTCTCTTTCAAGAATTCTTGGAAAATGAAAATATTTTCGGACAAAAAAATGGAATGTTTATCACTGACAGATCCTCCCTAAAGGAACTTCCATGGAAGGATGTGGTTCAGGAAGAAGGAAATGATCTCAGAAGGAAGGTCTGAGATGCTGAGGAAGGGGTTGAGTAAAGGGAAAGGTGACCAGGTGGGTGAGCTAAACAGTCAATGACCATATAACACAACAACTTCTCATCCACGGGATGAAAAATGCAGCCCCAAAATAGTGACAACCACAGCATTGAGGTTGGACAATGACCTGAGTTAAAGCATTCTAAAGTCTTTGAATTACTTGGGAGAAGAACAAACACATCATCTAACTTCAAACTTCGATAGCTAAACATATTTGTTGTTATAATTACTCAAGTGGCACCTAAAAAACTAGAATTATAATTCATAACTTCCAAACTAGAAGAGAGGTAAAAAAAGAATGAGAAAAACAATGACAGCAACCACCAATACTTAGTCTAAAAAAAGGCAAAAATGGGAAAACAAGGTAACATATCAGAAAAGCAAGAAAATAAAAGTAAAAATGGTAACTATGAATGCAAATATATCAATATTTATAATAAATGAAGTGAATGTTCTTTTCAAGTATATATAGAACATTTACAGAGGTTGATTTTATCCAAGACACAAAACGAGTCTCGAAATTTTTCAAAACTTCAGTATTATATAAGCTATACATCTTGATCATAATGCAATTGTTAGAAACAATAACAAAAAATAATTATCAAATCCATATTTTTAGAAATATAGAAACATTTCTAGATAATTCATTTATCAAAAAATAAAAATTAGAAAGTTCAAGGA